GGCCTCCTCCTTACATGTAGCCCAATTGAATTAATAATGGGTAATGAACCCACTAATATTAATACAAATCAGCCCACCTTCACATAACACTTTCAAATGTTGGCCCATTACATAATATATCCATTATTGGCCCCAAATATGTTGCCTATATTGGGTCGAGTATGGGGTACGAGCTCTGTTGGTAGCAGAATATGTGCACCCCCGTACTCTGCCGGCTGAAATTTTGTTTATTGTCACGCGCCCACGAAAATATTCCAACATCCTAAAAAAAATAAGACATAAAAATATCATAGAACGTAAATCCATCTAATAAATAAATAAGTAGAAAAATATATAAGTGCGACAAAATTAAGCATATCAAAATAAGCAAATAAATATATAAAATACACACTTTTTTGACCAATCACTAATGAAGTGTTATTATTTTTGTGCTTACGTCAACACACACAAAGAGTAAAAAAATATATAATTCAACCAAAACAGGTGCTAGCTAAAAAATTCTCTCTCTATGGGAGTTCTATTTTCTCTGGAGCGAGAGAACCCTAACTTCTCCTTCTAATCCTTGTCGTCGTGTTCTACCAGTCTTGGGTTGAGTTTAGTTGTTGCGGGTTGGATTTAGGTTTGCTTTCTGGGGCGGCGTAAGTTGTGTCCTTTCTTTGCAGGTTATCGATGGCTTCAGAGGTGACAGGGGTTGTGAGTCCGAAAGGAAGCGAGAGGAGTTGAATATCAGGTTTCAAAAAATGGATCTCTCAAAATAAAAAATTAAGGCCATTGAAATTGGACACAGGGATATCAAGACCAGTACTGAGGAATGTAACAGGAGTCTTTTCGGTAAAGTGGTGGGAGAGCAGAAAGCAAGTCTGGTTTGAATTCGCCGTACAATGAGCCAAATTTCACAAAATACCTTAGAATCACAGCAGGAAAACACATCACTTTGTCTCGAACACGAATAATCAGAACACGAATAAGGAAAAAAAAGAAAAAAAAAATCAGAAAATACCTCTTGAATAGTAACCAAACGCTTTGGCTCCTCGTCACTCTAACCCAGCTAAGCCTGAAGTTTTTCCTTGACCTTCACCTTATTCTTCTTGATCTCTTCCTCCTTGGCCCTGAACGTCGACAGGGCAACTTCGACATCTCCTCGTCGTGTTTCGTGAGCCGCCGTGATTGATGAATTGATGAGGGAGAAGATAATAAAGCCAAAGATGAGCAACAAAGCATTTAATATTATTACCATGCATTAAATTTTATTCTAATGCATTAAATTTTATTCTCCCTTCAAAATTTTCAGCATTCAATTTGATTTTTAAGTTATACAATAACTTGCTTGAATGTCATAAATTATGAGCATAAACCAATCAAGGGAGTTATAAAATTGTACTCAAATTTTAAGTCACACCCACTCATGAAAATGGCCGGGTGTATTAGCATAAAGAAAATGGTTGTAACGACTCTTCCATAGCAATTACTTGATTAAAATCAATTTTGAGAATAATTTTCTTAATTCATATTTTTTTCATGAATTAAATTATATATATATATATATATATATATTTTATGTTCTTAAAGTATTTGTCTCTGTGCAAATGTACTTGTTGATTACTAGTAAAATGTATATGTCCACCCAAGACCAATAATTAAATTCCAACTTTTTAGATCAAAATTGGAAATGCTTATGATAAAAGTCCGAGAATAATCTAGAACAAATATAAGCTATTGTCATTTGGAGAAGACATCACTAGCAGAATATTTACTCAAAATTATCCAACTCGTACTTATTCCATGAAGGGCAAGACAATTGAAAAAACAAACGAGAATAAGAAAAGAAAATGAATAAGAAGAAGAATCTACAATATTAATTATTTTTCAATATTATTAATCCTCTACAGAAGAGCTGAAGCACGAATAAATTAGTTAATTAGGTAAGGGTACTAATTCCAATATGCATGCTATTATATTTTATATCAAACCTAAGAGCCTTGATTCGTAAGATCAAAACTCATGTTTATTGTACTATATTTTCGATGTATCCAAATATTCTTGTCGAAATAGAGAGGAAAACCCGTGGGATTGGATTGGCCTAACCTCCATTTGGACCCTTGTTTGGAGTTTTCTAAGAATTTTCGACTCCCATTATTTTGATTAGCGAGTGAGGAACTAATTATATGATTACCCACTAGGCTTTTTGTTTGCCGTTTGACGGTCGTTATAGCACCATTTTTTATCAATATATCTTTAATTTAAC